CATTATCCCAATATAACCCAATAAACCCAATATAAGCCCAACAAAATGAGCAACCACGATCTGCCTCTTTGAACGCACTGAATTACAAGCGCATGTATTTTATCTGGACCCCAAAACATCCCCAAACTCCGCACTCTACCCATGTTCAACATGCTGACAGGGCCTCCTCGAGCTTTGCCAGGCGTGCATCAAGCTGGGCCTTGCAGCAAAGCAGCTCTTGATTGAGAGGTAGGACTCCTTTGTGGTTTAAGTCAGAGATCAGGCCGGCATGGGAAATTTGTCATCACATATGCCAAGTGGCGACATGGCCGTGACCCCGTTCCCCAAGTGAGCCGTTGAATTCCATATCGTCAGATGAATCTGAATCCTACCCCCTCAAGGCAGCATACCCCAAGGGCATGTACACACCTTAAATTAACGTTGGGGTGTCGTCTACCTTTGGCCCCTGCACCGTGCAGCCCCTGTACTCGTCGGCCCCTGGCGCCTCTTCTCGTGGTTTTCGCTGGGCAGCCCCGGACTGAAGAGCCCTCCTCTCCAGGCCGACCACGACCTGCAACACAAATTTTGCGGAAGGGAGGACGGATGCAAAGTTTCAGTCGTCTGTTCCAGGGGAGATTACTATTGGGATTATATACGGACTACTATTGTGATCCATTCCCCCATTCCCTACCCATGTCACTAATATGCTAGGTGTAAAAGGCTGCCGCAAGCATGTTTTTACTGCTTCTGACGCCCAGCAATGAAGCTTGGGTGAGCGTGGACAATGTAAAATGCAGTGCGCTTGCTTGACTCTGCTGTTGCTGATGATCAACTGCAGTTCCAGGCACTTGAAGCAGTTGTCGTTGCAGCCGCTGTTGTCGCTGTCTGCATTCCTCGCAGGTAGAACATGATGCAACAAACCTTTGGTTGATGGTTACCGTTTCTGTAGGTGGCGGGCTTTGGATTTAATCCCTCTACTGACTCCATCAAGCACCACTGCAAGGTGGGGATCGTACGTCAAAGCTTTTTTTTTGCCAGGGCAGGGATATCTGTGTTGTGGAGATGGCTCGTCCTGGACACCCCTCCTGGACATCAAGGCAACCAAGGAGGAGTCACCCACCAGTAACTTTGGCAGTGAACTACAACACAAGATCTCCACAACTCCCCAAATCAAACATGTAACCGCGCCCCTCACAGCCTACTCTCCTGCGCGCCCCCATCCAACGCTATGGTCCTCCTTAAGTAAATAGAATATAGCTTCGGGTGTATTATAATAAGATCCCCATATACTTACCCCATATTCAATCTACTCAAGGGGGACTACAATCCTAAACCCTAAATAGTAGTTTCCATCTTCTTTTCCATTATCCCTATACAACCCCTATATAACCCATGATAGTAGTTTCCATTTTCTTTTCCATTATCCCTATAATACCCTATATTCTATCTACTTAAGGGGGACTATAGTCTGTGAGAGGGGCCTTCTGCAAGCCATCCCAGTCCCCAAATGCTTTCAACCTGCAACCAAAAAATAGGCCGACCGTCTTCCCTGAGCCCCAAACACTTTCCACAAAAACTATGAGGAGTTCCCCAAATTCGAAATACCTTTGATGAGGGTCTCCATAGGAAAGACGATAGAATTTAAGATTTTGGGGTCCGCCTCTTTATGGAAACTAACATGTCGCCAGAACTTTCCGTCTGCTGTCCTCGAGCTTCTGTGAGCTTTGGGCCTTGTGTGAAGGATGACAAGCAATATATATATATATGGCTTGTTTTTTCTGGATGAGGGCTTAAACCTCACTCTCCTCTACCGGATGCAAAACATGGTCGGATCGAGAGGAAGTCACGTCTCTCTGGGCCATAAACAGCTTTTGTTCTATGCTTTTCTTGCCAGGTTGTGGTCCGTTTCCAGGATAGGGTAACTATGCTGAAAAGCTAACCGGTGGCTTGGGCGTTCCCCAGCAGCTATGAGCCGTACTCATGATTCTGAAAGAAAGGCTGATGGCAACTGGCCACATGTTGTCACCTTAATCCCTAAACCCCAAACCTGAGCAAGGTTCCACAACCCCCTACACTCCCCTACTATTCAATACCCCTGTTGCGGTATATCTCAATAGATGGGGCATGCTGAAGATTACGGGTGTTTTATGGTGTTTTAACATTAGGGAGAAGCGACTAAGGGGAGTTGGGCTACACGAACTGCCAGGATGAGGATGCCGTGACTGGCATATGACTTGTATAGGGTTCAGTAATGAGGGTTTAGGGATTTAGGGTTATGGGGTTTTTAGTGCTTAGGGATTGAGGGTTGCCCAACCCTCTATCCCTATAAACCTCGATAAACATCTATTTCATTCTCCGTTTGCTTCTTTTGGGACCAAGACCTCCATTGCGATTTAGGAAGCTATCACCTATGGAGTTTCCATATAGCTTTCATGAGCATTTTTACCATGTTCAGATGCATTTCCTTCTCCCTGATATAAACTCCAAGCCCCATATGTCCCTTTGTAAGCCTGCAACACTTCTCCCTAAACCGTTTCTGTCCCAAGGCAACCTTAACCCTAAAGCCATATGTCCCTACATAACCCTATACCCAAAATCTTACATCATTGACAGAGGATTTTTGGGAACCCAAACCGTAAAACCCTAAACCCTAAACCGTGTAAACCCCACTGATCTGCCTGCCTGCAAATGGTGCTTGAGGTTACCCAAGCCGCTCCGAAGCTCCTGACACCCATCTGGGGGATTCCCAAAAATTAGGGGTACCTATTTGGGGGTCCCAATAATAAGGACTATAGTATACTGGGGTCTATATTGGGGTCCCTTTATTTTGGGAAACTGCCATCTTCAGTATTGGAGACTATGAAAGATTAGTGGAGCTGATGAGGCTTTAGGCCTATCTAAATAAGGTTTGGGGTTTAGTTAGGGGGTTGAGGCCCTACACCCTAAATCCTAAACCCTCTTCATTGAGTTTGGGGGTTCGGGCTTAGGGTTGTTAAGGGGCTTGGGTGTCTGCAGGGCTAGGGAGGTATCCGTACGGGGGCTACTAAACATTCCCATGACATGTGGGAGCTTCTCACAACAGGGGCTTTTCCCTGGAGAGACAAGATGACTGGAGGATTTCCAGGCTCCCAGCCCTAAACCTCGAAAACCATCTAAATGTCATAGTATATTATGGTATATGATAGTATGTTATAGTCTATTGTGCAAAATAATGACAAATTTGAATATCTGATGGCATACGATGGCATATGATAGTATATGATATTATATCATGGTATATCATGGTATACTCTTAGGAAGAAGTTTGAGAACCTCCCACTTGGCTTCAGGCCGGCGAAGTTGTTCTACCCTTCCCCGCAGTAGCATAAACAACAATGATATTGATACTAACAGTAGTAATAACATTAATAGTAACAGTGCTTTTATTATAGAACCCCGAGAAGCCCTGTTTTGAATGCACAGGACTAATCTTCTTTTAGGTCCCTTTACTTTCACATAAGTTTGAAGAAGGATAATTAGACACCACAGGGTTAAGTAGAGACCTCGGACGTGTGAAGAACAAGCTTGCTTTGCCGAAGCCATAAAAGATGCGGCGCTTGAATTTCCAAGGCTGCTCAACTAGAAGCACCACTCACACGTAACATACGAACTTCTTCGCTTTGAAGCCACTTCTTGCCACTGAGTCCTTCCTTCTCAGCATGTGGCACAGGACAAGATTGGAAGGACACCACACAGAGCAGAGGTTAGGGTGATGGCTATCGCCGGTCTAGGGCTGTGCTTGATGCGAAAAAGGGTCCAAGTAAACAATACTTGGGTACTTGGGGCTTTGGCTCCATAGTTTTGATGAAGTACATGATTGCTAGGTTCTTGGAACCTTATTGCGGTTGTTATTAGAAGTCTTCGCATGCGTAAGGACTGACTCCCGTACCCCAAACCATGACTCCGAGCAGTGATTGAAAGAGGCAATACCATCATATTATGTCATATTATACTATATTATACTATATTATGCAATATGATATTACATTGTATTATATTATACTATTTGATATTATACTTATTGGCAGGTAAGGGCCCATGCTCCTCCAAAGCGGAGCCCATGTCCTCGACGGCCTGTTGGCAAAAACAGCTATTGGAAGGTGTCTCAACAAGTGAAGCGTTGGAGCTTTGGATGTTCCATGCACATCTGAAGAATACCTGGGAGCAGAACAAACAGGAGTCGTGACATGTTTATCCAGAGCGATCTACAGAAGCAGGAGAGCGATGCCAACTCGTCTGAGTTTATACTGCTCGTGGGCAAGCTGTTTTTTGCTGGGCAACGGTATAAAGGAAAAGTCTTCTGGCAGGAGGTGAAACACTTACATCTTTGGCACACGAGCATACAGGTCAGCAAAAGGCCCCTAGAATAATTCCACAAAACCCTCTTCCTGGAGATCGTTTCGGATCCATACGAACGCGGGGAAGCTCAGGTTGTATCAAACTCAACAGCCTCGGCAGGGGTAACACAGACCTCTGCCTTCTCCCGGAACAATTAGAGCTGTAGCACTAGCAATAGTAATAGCAAGACTAGTAGTAACAGTATGCTCGTGAAAGGCTCACGCTGCAATGCTTCCTAGTGCGCCTCGGACAATGTCTTCAACCCCCGATCTGCAAAGCAGCGCTGGTAGTCGCCAAGCAGGGCTGCGTCGAAATATACCCTCTACAGCCCCTACAGCGCATAGCAACCCTGTTCAGGTCACATTTTGAGCGTGTGCCGTGGTGGTACTGCGCAAGGTGCTGGCCTCTTGAGGGTTCTGGCCGCGTATCAACGAGAGACTATCCCCCATTAGGGGAGGAAGCTGTCGGCCGTTGCACTGAACCCCTTCCCACTTAAATACTGTGGTATTTGCAAAGCTCCAGCAAGCAAGCTCACGGCATAGAAGGCATGATAGAGACCAAACGGTGCATCACCGGCAGCTAGCATATGGGACATGAGAATCTATTGAAACATGGCTAACTGCACAGTTGCTACGGGAGGGCTGTCAATCTGTCTTCAACAGAGCAGCCAGCGCAGCCATTGCAAGCAACATCGCGCTCAACTGTGCAGATGTAGAGGCTAAAGAAGATGAGGAGTCTGAATCATTTGGCAAGGAGACGGAGACGGATCCTGGGTCCAAAGATAAGTCATGCATGGAACTTATCGCATTGAACATGGCGCAGCTAGTATCCTCGTTTGATAGTCTGGTACTACAGGAAACAGGAGTTTTTGATATGAGCTATAGTCTAAACTCCTAGTAGCCCCTCTTACTAGGCCTCCCCCATAAAACCCTCCTTAAGGAGTCCCTATAATACACCCCTATATAATCCCCTATATAACCCCCTTTAAGGAGTTTAGACTATAGCTCATATGAGGACATGATAAAGGATCCGCCGCTGGGGCTGCTTGTGCTCGTCATCTTCGGCTGCTCGCATCCTCTAGGCTCCCCAGTAATCCCTTTTTAGGGTTTAGGGTTTAGGGCCTTAAGAAGGGTACCCTTTTTCCTAATGTTAGGGCTTAGGGTTCAGCTTTAATAAGGAGACCCCAAAACAAAAAGGGGAAAAGGGTACTAATGGGGTACCCTAAACCCTACACCCTAAACTCAAATTAGTTGTCCTTGATCCCTAAACCCAACTTAGTTGTCCTTGATAACAGAACTCGAAACGGACGAGCTGTTGATCGGGCGACCCGACGTAGGCCACCGCCTTGCCGTTGATGATCGGAACCTTACTGGCTTTCGGGGTTTAGGGTTTAGGTTTTAGGGTTTAGGGTTTGGGTTTAGGATTTGGAATATGCAAGAAAAGGAAACCAATATGTGTTGGGTACTGCCGGGTAACAGTCTATCATGACTATACACATTATCCAGCTGTTACAGCGTGGATGCAGTACCCAACTATATTGTTGGTGATTATACAAGGATGTAAGGACAACTAAGGGATCCCTTCCTTTCATGCCAATGCAAAAAGCTAGCCACCCCATTAGCATGAACCCTATATATTGGGATACTATAAGGTTATATTCGGGCAATGGATAATAAAATGGAAGCTACTATAGTATATTGAACAAGTAAGTGAGGAACGTCATCCGCAAACGGAAGTGGGAAAGGGTAGGCCATGGGAGTCTCACTTTGTAGCACTGCGCCATCGGTGTCGACCACCATGCACTCGCTGCGGTTGTAGGAATCTCGCGCCCAAACCTCCCAAATCCTCAGTGGTTCAGGCTTAGGGTTTGGGTTCGGGGGCGAGATGAAGATGCAGTCCTGTCCCTTGTGGTGTGTAAGCGTATGCAACAAACACTTAGGGAAGCTCAACATGTGCATGTTTCTCAAAACAGGGCGTGCTTGGAAATCTTAGGGGCAAATATGGGGACTGACCAAAAACGGACTGTATAATGTTCGCTATAATCTAGAAGATCCCCAACTCCCCTACTGTATTGATACTGTATTCTCTAATCCTTATATAACCCCTATACTGGGTTGGCCCCCAAAACCCTTTCAAAACTATTAGTCTATAGGGTCCCTTATTAAGACCATTAGGGAAAATATTAAATATCCCAGGGGCCTACCCAGTATATCTACAGGGGTAGTTTTCAAAACACTTTTTCTACGCAAAGAGGAGGATTCAACAGGATGGCCTGGCCAATCTCAGCCGTTTTCAGGCGACTCACAGACTGCGACACATCCGTCCTCGGCACTTGTTGAAGTTTTGGGTTCAATATGGGGGGTTTCCCAAAATTAGGGCGACCCATCTTAGGGGTCTCCAATCATAGGATTATAATATAGTGGGGTCTATACTGGGGTCCCCTTTTTTAGGGAAACTACAATATTTTGGCATCAAGAGCTTCCTCTGTAGATACATCTGGGATATGAGCTCCTGAAAGCTCAGGTTTAGATTCTTTGAGGTGTTGTTGAGGTACCGCAACTAGGGAAAAGACTAGTGAACCTTTGAATGTCGCTGGCAGTAGCATCGCACTATGCAGTTTACCGTGGCTTGCTTGGCGATTGTTCTGTCATGTCAGGCTTATGTCTGCATTAACAAGTGAAGCGGTCTTCAACATATTCAAAGCATCTTGGAGGTAAGGAAGCTGATTCCGCGGTTCGTCTGCGCTGACCAGCCGCCCCCAAAGGTGTAGAATCCGCCCGTCTCCTTTCTCAACGAACACAGGCAATCGGTTTAGGGTGTGGGGTTCAGAGTAGGGATTCTGATCCCATCCCCCTATTATCACCCTCCCGGCTGATAAGAAGTTTCCCCAATATAGCACATGTAGGAATATTGATTCTGGGGGTGGCGGGGTTCCTTAGTCTTGGTGGGGGGCACTGAAGGGAATGTCAAGATTAGGCGTTCGTTTCAGGTTCTTCCGTCAGGATGTACTGTCAATTCAAAAGTCGCATCTTAATCTCTTTGATCAGTTCTACATGACATTCCGACCCGTTGTTCTTGAACTCTTCACGGGGTATGTAGTAGCAGGGGGGATGCTTAGCAAAAGGTGGATAGATCAACTTGAATATCTACATCCCTCTTAGCTCACATTTCAAGATCCCTGGTTGATCGATGTGCAGGCCGCCAGGTCAACATATGGCTGATGGACATAATCCTGCATGATCCGGAGCATGCTATAACACCAGAAATTCCAAGCTTTAGCCTTGTGAGCCACAATCTAAATTCCTTGAAGGGGTTTATATGGGTTATTCTCAGAATGATTCGCTTTTGGTCATAGATTATACTACGGCACCTAATATCTAGGGGTACCAAAATCAGACCCTGATTTTGAGGGGTACTCCACTAGGAGTTTAGACTGTGGCTCTTATAGGGTCATGAAGTCTGTTGTCAATGGTTTGTGAGGCAGGGGCATGATAGGTTTCAATTTGTTTTGCTGTTTGAACATGTTTTCGCACGCTGCGATGAATCTACTCGAGGCCTACTCGTGACAAACCTAGACGCCAAAAATGCCCCTAACACTGGCCTTTTCTCCTGAATACCGGGTATACAGGCCATTGCTATGGACATATGACATACGGGAGATCTAGGAACACTCCGTTGAGCATAGCTGAGCGATAATCTAAACTCCTAGTATCCCCCTTAATAGCCCCCTTTCATAATCCCCTAAATAATCCCCTTTAAGGAGTTAAGACCTTAGCTCAGTTTATGTCTCCAAAGGGGGAAGCCCAAGGCATGGCTCAATCCCTCATTGTCTTCACATGCACTTCAGCTGGTAGGGGGTTCAGAAGGCTTTTTTCCTTGTGCTCCAAGTAGGGACCCTACTTTTCAGAGTTGGGGAAGCGGTTGAGCTGTATGATTTCGGGCTTTTGGAATCCGGTGGTAATGCTGAACTACTCTTGGAATCTTGGGAAATGTAAAATCTTGACCCCGGAGCCTTCCTTTTTCTCACATCAACCGGGGGTGCCTCAACTTCCCCTCACTTTTGTTTCTTTAAATAAAGGTCTCTAAATTGCTTACAGTCCTTTAAACGGGGGTCATATCAGCTTCCATGTTTGCCCGGGCGAGGGTGCGGCTCACCCATTTTGAGGACTTCCCGAAACAGGGGGACCATCACTCACAACTGCTACAGAGATTTCCAATAGCTATCACCCAAAAAACGGCCAGCAAGTCACGCGGTTAGGGTTTAGGGCGAGTAGCCCATATGCAATGACCCCGGTAGAAGGATCCTTCTTCTTCGCAACGTACGTAGACTCCGGGGGAGGGTCGTAGTCTGACTTGCATAAACACACGGCCCTGAACCCCAGGACCCTAAGACTTGAATCATCAACTTTAAACCCAGAATCGTACACTTGTAACCCTCAACCCTCAACGGTACACCCTACATGTTTGGCAAGGCCCCGTTCAGTGCTAGTAGTACAATAGAAATATATGGGGGAACCTCACATAATGGGGATTATCCTTTGTGGTCACGATATATCGCGGTGGCCTAACCTAACCCAGACTCTCTAGACTAGGTTGCTGTTAGTTAGGGAATTCGAAGTAAGTTACAATTTTTTGCATACATAGTAAATGAGAGGTTTCCTTACAATATCTTATTATACTAATTCACACAACCCTCCCTTACAGCAACCCACTCCAGATCCTGAGCAGTCTCTCCTCGGCCCCTGGCGACAGCACCGCATCGCTACTCAGGTCTCGCGGGATCTTCACGAATCCCACGTTCCGGGCAACGTTCAGAGCCTCCCCAAGGTTTAGGTTACCAAACTGCGGCTGTTAAGGAGTCTGCCCATAGTTTGTTTTCGTTGCGTTCCTTGCGCTGCCTGACGGTGATGTCAAGTAAGTATTCCCAATCGAGAATACCATGGTAGCATGGGAGCATGTGATGAGGGAATGCCAAACACAGAGCAAAAAGAGGCTGCCACTACTGAATGTTGCTATTTGCGCGGTTTAGTGACGTGTGAACCTGCAAATTGCAGCCCCATCCTGAAAGCCCTGGAAATAAGATCATGTATATATATATATATCTGTCATGTGTGTTTATAAGAATATGTTTTATGTCTACATTCATAGTCTGGGCTAAGCCTTTACCTCCATGCCATCAATCCCTTGATCCCTTCTGGCCTGAACCTGTAAAGAAGGATGACTCAGGTGGACTGTTCACGCTGTAATAGTGACCATAAGGGATACTAGTCGGGTCCTATTATATTCTACTATACAGATATACCCCCAAGATTAGAGTAGTGTCCGGTTGATTGTCCATTATCCCTATATCACCCCTATATAGCGCCCATATAACCCCAAGATAACCTATATATGTTCCTGGTCCTGGGGATCCTACGCCCCCACCGTGCCGACAGTCACAGGGATGTGGCCCCTCGAGGTCGCGATCCTCGTGACAGTCGTCGTTTTTGACGCCTCAAAGCTGCCATCCTTGCAACTGTCGTCACTTTTGGCTCCTCGTGCTTTCGTCGCGTCTCAGCAGTCCCAACAGTTACAGGGATGGCGCCCCCTCATGGCGCGATCCTTGTAACTGTCATTACTTTTAGACCTCCGTGTGATCTTGGCGTCTGAGAAGCGCCAACAGTCACAGGGCAGGGGCCTCCCGCGGTCGCGATCCGTGTAACTGTCGTCACTGTTAAACTTTCGTGCTGATTATACCTGGGGCTATAGCTCTACTTAGGCTCTATCGTGACCTGGCACGACAGGAACCTCCAAATAAACTTGTGTCCAAAATCAATAGAAGAATTAAGATAACAGCATCATATGGGATATGTGGCAGGATCATCTACGAATACCCACACACTCTTAATATACCACCAGAACCACATGGACAGGACCACCAGAACCACAGGGGTGGGAGGGAAGAACGCACACAGCATAGGTGCCACAGGCCACAGCACACACGGGGGAGGAGGGGGACCATACCATGGGGGGGTGGGGGGGGGTAGCAACCCTGGATCATATATGGTTATGCGCTCTGTCCTAAAGGTTGACCCACATCCAGCCTGGCCCGTCGCGGCATTGTCCAGGGGCGGGGACTCACCGGCAAAGAACACGAGCACCGTGTCGTTGACCTTTGGACTTTTCAACAACCCTAAACAACCATCATTCATACGACGCAAAATATTCCACAGCATCTTGAGATAGCCTACATCTGAACGGGTGCCACTATTTCACAAAACCCTAAGCGCTAAACCCCCCTCCTCGTGCAGGCCGGGATGGGCCAACTCCGTATAGACGTAGTTGTCATTGCTCCACTTGTAGAAGGTCTGCGAGGCCGTGGAAATCTCTGCATAGACATCCTTGCTGGCTTTTTGCTACACGTGCATGCAACCGACTTGAAATACGTGCATGATGGCAGACAACATCCTTTAATGCCCCATTCCAGATGGGGGCGAACTACCATGAACAAGTACAACCCAAAGATCTATCTGCAAGGAAAAGTTGCTAAAAGTTGCTAGAAGTAAGCCTCAACTCTAAACCCTTAAGGCCCTAAAGTTCTACAAAGATTCGTATGCGGCACCAGCAGGGCTCGTAGCCTGTGTCCCGTGCTTGGTCTTGAATTCATATACCAAACCTGGGAGATTGCTGAGGTCTTCTTTCAAAATTCACATCAGTTCAACTATGCTAAAATATGATCCAGATGATCCCCATGCAGTCGCCAGGGCTCACACCCCCACACTCCTCTTTTAACCCCATATCTCCAAAGTTCCTGGGGCTCACTCATTCTGAGAATCTACCAAGTTGTCAATAGGACGCTTTTAGGAAACCCCGCACCCACTTTTCTGACCCTACTTATAACTATGCTATGACAGCTATACTATACTGTACCTCACTTTGAGGGTTGAGGCTACCTGAAGCTCCTTATCAGCTGATCACCAACGGCAAGCCAGAAACGCTTCTGCCACGACTTCGTCGCGGCCTTAAGCTCCCACCTTTGAAGTTCTTTAGGATTAAGGGCTTTGCGGCCCCTCTTGGGTGTTTTTACGGAAGGAAGGAGTGGGAAAGAACATGCAAGCTGAAAAACAACATCAAATTCAAAAGGAAAGGGAAAGTTTCAAGGACAACCCGAGTTATGTAGGTAGTACATGGAGGAGAACCACATGGAGAATGAAATGGAAACCCTGGGGATGTAGTGGGACTATGCAGGAATTAATTCCCTCCCCTAAGAATGAATACTCCCGACATAATACTACATCATATAACATTATGGTTTCAATCGGGGGAATGTTTGTTATTAGGGAGGCCGGGGGGGGGAGCTGTTGTTCGGGGCAGGGGCTTAGGGCCTTTTTGTGCTTGATGTGGTTTGCTAAGAATGTTTCTTACTAGGACCCCCAGAATCATTGGACGGTCTAGTCAGGCATGTGTACTATGGTCATATGCTAGTTTCCAAGGTATACACCCAGAGACCACAATCCACGTGTAGTAAAGACCCCCCCCCCCCGAACAGAAAGAGCCAAATCTTTTGTGAGCCAGATCACGACCTTAGAGCCCTGCAACCCAAACAATATCTGAAAAGTTCTAGTTACCAGTGTTAAAACTAACTTCCTAAGAGCTCACAGCTGATATCTGTCAGGCTCCCAATCTCTTGGCCTGTTTTCGACTTGAAGGCTAGGTACCCAAAGAAACTGGGTTGCTTTCAAGGAACTGAAATTAAGCTACCATGTTATGGTATACAGTAAATAGCAGGGCTTCCTTCTTATAGAAACTTATCAGACAAAGTTCCTTAACAGCAGCCCAGGAAAAAGCCAGGTTACACGTGTCCATACCTCAGATCCTACATCCTCAACCCAAATGACCGCTAAAGGTTCACCAAGCCGCAAATTGATGCCCCGCGGATAGTTGTCACCCAGGTCCATTCCAAGGTACCAGCCATCCTTCTCGGACACCTGGAAAAGGATCAGGCTTCCTACCCTAAACCCTAAACCCTACAGGGTTTAAGGCTTTGGGTTGGAGGGTCACTTTGGAGTTGGGAGAGCGGATAAACAGATAGATGTTGAGTGATCAAATTTTCGAGATGATTTTTCCCTTCTGGCCGATTATCAAGATGACCGAGTGGTGGGGGCTTGGCTGTCTATACGCTGAGAATTCCAGAGTCAAAGAAATTCAAAGAATGCTCCGATTTTGGGTCAGCTCGGGTCATCACTGCAACATGTCGCGGAATGATATATGGGTTCTGAACTCATTTTAAGGGACCCCCAGAAATAAGGATTGTCATAGAATCGGGTTTCCATCGGGCCCCCTGTTTTGGAAACGCCCAGATGAGCCATGGTCTAAACTCCTAGCATCACTCTTAATAGCCTCTATACTGCTCCCCTATATAATCCCCTAATCATGTAAGCCCCGGATTCATAAACCCCTTCCCCTGAATAGGGATTATAGTAGGGATCCTAATATTGATATTAAGGCTCTTAGAAGGACGGGGTTTAATAATCAGGGGTCTACAGTATATAATCCCCCTTTAAGGAGCCTAACCCTTTTTCTTAAACCCTAAACCCTGGACTATAGCTCATATGATTGCGGAGCCCTGGCTCTGAGAAATCTGCGCCCCACCTGCAGGGAGTTTGCGAAGGAATGGCCGGAGGTCTGGCCATAGTTCGTAATCATCTGCAAGGTGCTTGCGTCCTTAGTCTCTAGTCTCCTTAGACCTATAAGAGAATAACACGCATTTTAATATCTTAGGGTTATACTATAATGAAATTACAAGATACCTAGGGCGTTTTGTCCCGTTATCCTTTTATGCTGGTCAAACGCTGAATGCTGGACAGGTAAGCGTCCAGAACAAAGGCAATACCACCTTGGTGGTTCAGGCCGTCGCTTGCCTGAGTCATGGTGCGAGCGAGAGAGACTCCAATCGTGCCTGAGCCAGTATCCCAAGCAAAGGAAGCTCCAGAGGACGAGAAAGCATAGATGTTCAAGTCTGACTTGCCGGTTGGCAAGGAAGCTCTCTGCAGCTCATTGCCGGCAGCATCATATTTGACAACCTCTGCGGAGCTGGTTGCTGTCTTATCTGAGGGAGATCCAGAAGCGCCCAGCAGGAGGATGACGTTGCCAAGGCCATCTCCGGCAGCTCCCACGAATATGGTTGAGGATAGCGCAGTCAACTGGACGGTCTGTGAAGAAAGGTAATCCTTGGCCAGCCATGTCAGCTTCACAGCATCATTGGCGAAGTCCTGCCACACAATTCCTTCCCGCCCATCTGAATGGGTCATGGCAAAGAAGCGCTTGTAAGTGCCGTAGTTCCCTGTGTGGGTGCCAGGACCGTAATTCCAGTTTGTCTCTGGCACAAATGGCTGTCCTGGTACCGAGAACCTCCGGGCGCTGAGGCTGAAGCTTCCATCTGCCTTGCCATCGAGCCAGGCCGCCTCAACCTCTGATGCTTCCAGCGGCCAAATGCTGATTCGAGTGCTGGCAGGTTGGAGGATGACCACCACCGTCTCGGCAAGGTTGTCCACACGGACCGAGGTCTTGTTGTAACTTCCAGCCTGGGCCTCGATGGTATCAAGAAGGTGGAAGCCAGTGCTTGGCACATAGCTCCAAATGTTGGTAGAACCACTTTGCTTGATGTAGAGGTGGGTTCTGCTAGCAACGAACTCTGTGGCCAAAACGCTGGGCGGCGAGATGCGGAAGGCTGTGAACGACGCCCCATCTGATCCAGTCAGGTCACCGAGCTCGAGGAGGTAGTTGCTGTTGGAGTACCTTACTGGAAATCTCTGGAAACCAAGGAGGAATGGAACAGAACATGGAAACTTATTTTGTTGAGGATCGTGTACGGACTGTGAGACCCTTTCCTCCATTCCCTACTTATAGACATTAAGGTACCTTGCATCTTTCCAGCAAGTTCCACCGCTTGACTGCATAGTGACCAGCGCCACATCTCCGAACGTCTCTGCTTCGGAGAAGCTTGGGTCGCACTCCGTAACGCCCTGCCCCGACAGGGTTCGCTTGGCTGGTGCTGGAATAGTCTCTTCTGCAGGCAGAAACAAGAAGACTGCTGCAGACGTAATCCCATTCACAGTCACACCCGTGGGAACGAAGCTGTCGGCTGCTGTTGCTTTCAAGCTTGCAACTCCGATCAGCACTCCACCCTCCAAACGGTACAAGCGATAGTCGGAGGTACTGGGCAGCCGAACGTACAACTGCTGACCGCTGGCAACAAATTGTTCTGCTGCAGATTGGGGCGGCTGCACCTCAAAGGCATCGAAAGTCTTTTCACCCAACTGCAGGGTGCCAAGCACAATGGGGAAGTCGCCGTTAGAGTACTTCGTATTAGCAAAGCATCCCTGCCCCGTGTTGGTGAGTGCTAGGGCCACAAACGACACATTCTTGTCCGTGAAGTCTAGCGAATCTGCGCACTCAGCAGGGCTTCGCCCTGTAAGCACTACGGGATCGGTTCTCGATCCAAAGGTTGCCTCGGAGAAAGGCCTTGCTGCAAAGCTGTACTGGTAGAGCCTGGGTTGCTATTAAGGACCATAAATTAAGCTACTATATTGGGGAAACCTTTTTGATTTCTATATATACCCATAGTATGGAAACCCAAAACCCTAGACCCTAAATCCTAAATACCCTATAGATACCGATTATGGCTCTAAGGGATTTGAAACCCCAGTAGAAATAATATTTTCAGCTAAATATTTGGATTCTAGGAAACAGAAATTGAAAATTATTTTCAGGAACCTTGTAGATGGTAACTGAATTTAAGTTCCTTAACAGCAACCGGGGAGCGGGCTCAGGGTTGCCTCCGACAGCAACAGCATGGTGGCGCCCAGAAGCATCCCGTACGAGCGCATGGCTGGAGATCAAAAAACCTTTGCAAGCCTTTAGCTTGGTGGGGCTCTCTCCTCGTTGAAACAACTGCGACCAACATGAATTTTGTCAACATCTCTCCAACTGCGACCAACATGAATTTTGTCAACACCTCTCCTCGCTGGAACATGTTGCAAAGCGCCACGGCATGAAGTGAGCATGCAAAACTTGCATGCAAACCACCAGTACCGAGTGGTCATACAAGTCACATTTCAGGTATGCAAGCTGTCTGACAGCAAATGCCTACGTATGCATGCCCTGGAGATTTATCTTCAACCTCATGACCTTTTTCAGTCTTCAGACTACAAAGGCCAGGGGTATTTTGAGCCCACCTTCTGCTGTTGTTGGAGGCGTTGTTCCAGCGAGGGAAGTCCCACCTTGGTATGGTAGGTTTCAGGGTTTAGGGTTTCGCGATATGTGAAGAATCAACGGGGTAAGAACTTGTAACATGAAATGGAAACAGGAGATTATGTAGGGGTTTTATAGGGATTATGGTTGTTGGAATTTGGGGCTCACGATGTGGATCTTATTCTTTGGTGGTCTACATTGGGCCGGGCCGACCATCCCAGCTATGGAGCTGGAGCTACCATGCATGGTAGTTGATCAAAATTCAGCTCCCAAAATGGTCCTTATGGAACACAGGTTCCCCTGTATTTCTCCTTGTAAACCTCTAAGAACCCTAAGTACTTTCCCAAAAAAGACCTCTGGAGCAACCCCCATATGGCCGCTACTCATAACAAGGGTTCAGGCGCGAAAGCTTGGAGTCTGGAGTCTACGTTAGGTGCCTGAATAATTTCTAGGCTTTAGGGCCTAAGGTTAAGGTACCCTATACCGTCATTCTACAAGGAATCTGGGACCCTGATATTGGCAATGATTTATGCCCTTACATTACGGCTTCAACGCGCGCATCGCGCAGCCTCAGGTGCAGGCTTTCACGGTTTGTTGTTCGTGTCTTCCCGAAAGAAGCATATCATTAAGGACCCTAGGGATACGTGCGGATAACAGGGATTTCATGGAGATCTCCCTGAAGATTATGTCGTGATCATTTGGGGTGATTCTCATGTTCTGACAATGTGACAGTCACCGCCGATGCCACTTTCAAAGTCGTGGTAAGACAAACGGAAACAACTGTAGAGGTTGGCTGGAAGAGAGCTCTTGAAGCTAAACTTGGGCTTCAAAATCCAATCGCCGAAAAGGGAATGCTTTTTGCCTGGTTGGGGAGGCGAATGGGATAGCATGCGACCCGCAAAAATGCGAACGGTCTCTGAAAATCATTGCAGGGATCGTGCTTGTAAGAGATAACACTGGCGTCTGCTACTGCTACTCCTAGCGTGGGCAGAAGCCAGAATCAGCTAAGGACCTGGGAGTTGAACGGGCCTTCACGATGGGAATAATGTTGGTAGTGGTTCGCGATTCATTTCTGCCATCATGGAAAGAGCTCAAGGCGTGCAATGCAGAGGTTCGGCTGGACAAGACTCTTAGCCGCATCTTTCTGTCTCCCTGCATGAATTACATGTGGGGGTTCCCCAGAAGTACGGGTACCTTCTTGAGGGTCCCAGTAATAAGGACTCTTATATTGTGGAGTGTAGATTAGGGCCCCCCTCCCCTTTTTTGGGAAACCACCATGTCATTTCCCATGAAGGCCTGCATGCTGCTGGCATTAACTCAGCTGAAGTCAACACATCCTCATTACGATAACTGCTGTCGCTCTCTCTCTCTCTCTCTCTCTCTCTCTCGCTCCCCCTCTGCGCTGTCGCTAGCCATTGCAAATCATACGTGAACCCCTGAATCCTAAATCCCTCAAACGTCAGCACCCCGAAACACTAAAGTCCTAAACCCTAGGCCGTACCTAAACCCTGAACCTTAAAACCCTAGACCATAAATCCAAGTCCAGGCGACCATGGCTTCCGGAAAGCAGGAGGTGGGGTCTGGGTTAGACTGTAGCGCCTGGAGCCACTTCACAGGATCTACCTTGGAACCGGATTTGCTTGGGTACGGCTTACGTGCCGAGTGTTCGCGGGGACAATGCAGGGGTTAGTTGGATGCGCCCTATGACTTACAGAGTCTTCATGGGAGAACCATCAACGAAGTACAAGTTAGGATTTCGGATTCAGCGTGTTGCAATACCTCACGGCTCTATTCTAAGACACGCGCACCCTCCGAAACGGACTGATACATCGGGGTCCAAATTGCGGGTCCCTGCTTCTGCGAGGGTTCTACGGCTGAGATTGCACCCAAAAAGGTGAGGTGTGCGAGTTGTTGAAATTCGGCGCCGCTTGGGGATATGAGGAGTACATGAGCAGATTACAAGGATTCTTGCGAATACCTATTAGTCGTTCCCAAAGAGTTGTATAAGGATCACATACAGCCCAAACCTGCAGGAATTGTAAAGTTCTCATAATGTTTTCATCTCATTTTGGGGGTTCGGCCAACCTGGTCCCTACTCAGAAGCCTATGCCATACTTCGCCTACAGGCACCCCACCCGCCCATAACATCAGTCATTATTAAGGGGGTTATATAAGGATAATGGAAAAGAAAATGGAAACTACTGTAGTATGATAGGGTATTTATTGGGGGTAAGACGAATTATGTCAACATGATCTTTTGATGCAAAAACTTGTCCATGCCTTCGCAAGGGAGTCGTAGAGAAGCCCTGTGTAACAGTCTCTACATCTCAATGTGAGAGCCCCTGCGTGAATGATTTCAACCCACACTCCGAAACGTTCCAAACCTGGTGTCAGGGGCCAGAAGAAGCGATCCATAGTCTTGCGGACCTCCCTAGTTATTCCCGCCATTGTCTTCATATAAATGTGCAAATACTACTGTTACAGCGGTGCTGCTAGCAGTTGTCGTAACAAAAAATAGTAACAGCGGAGCAGCGGTGCTAGCGGTACTGGTGGTAGTAGTAGCAGCCGTGGTAGCCGTAGTCTTTGTAGCAGTACTATCAGCTACTCTCTTTATTCTCCCGCAAATGGCCAAGCTACATGCTGCGAACCCTAAACCGTCCCAGCTACATGCTGCAAGGGGTTGAAGGCTTGCGGCGTGTTGGCCTGCAGCGCTTAGCGGAATCAAGCTGTCTGTTAGTAGGGAACGAAGGAATGTAAAAGTAAATGGCAATTACTATTTTGGGTTTAGGCTTCAAGGCTTAGGGCGTACTATTTACGGCCTAAGGAATGGAAGCCACGGAGTAAAATCCTGTCCGCAGACCCCCTACAGGATCCAAAAAATAGGACCCCCCTATATGAAAGCAGTACTACATAAAACTAGGGGCTATTAGAGGGTTTCATTTTTTGGGATCCTTTAGGAGGTCTGGCTTCTAGCCTTCCTAAAACCCCCTGGTACATGTCTATACACCTCTCATAAGGACCTAAAAGTACGCATATATATACATATATATATATAACATGCCTTAAAACCCCTTGAAGGGGACAGTTCTATCTTGGCTGAAGAGTGGCTGCGGTTCACCAACATGTTGAACAATTTGTTTAGCAGCCACCTGTGCTTCCAGGGTAATACAGGGGCCGGTACAAATTGTTTCGGGTTTAGGGATGTTACCCCCCAAAATGAGAATCAAATGGAAAGGAACGTAGAAAATCAAGATGCAGACTGGGTTTATGAAGGGTTGGTGGAGCTTACTGGGGCCTCAACCACTACCGCCATCATGCTGAGGTTATTTGAGATACCTTATACTATACTTGCACCCAGAACGCAAAACCCTAAATCATGATGCAGATTCCAGTTCATTCTCCATGTTCTTTTCATTTGATTCTGGCGTAATACCTCTAAATCGTATATCACCCTGTGTAAGCCCACAGAACATCATATGATCCAAATGACCCTGTATAATCCTAATCCCTATATATTCACTGTGGCACTTAGCACCCCTACTAATTAAACGTACGTTACCTGTTAGTTACCTGCAATAGGAATATAGGGGATCACCAAAATTTTAGGGGTCTACGGTCCTAGCTAAATGCCAAGGAGCATTTAGGCCCCTACATTTTCCCCATTGTGGCCATCTCGGTCTGGGTATACTAACTCACTCTCTTGCACTCTTGAATTCTTTCTGCACTTGTGTTTTTTGGGGGTTATCTGCAAAGTGCCCAGCTGATCATCTCTACAATACATGGCCGTGGATAAAAAGAGCAGCATGTTTTTCAAGTGCACATGGTCTTGGCAGATAGTGGCAACACCAGGGACAGCCCTGGATTGCACCCCTGTTCCCTCGACCCTAAACGTACTGTGAACCACAGACCGGGCAGCACCTTCTATTGGCCGTTTTCGATGGTATAATAAGAGCTGGACATGAAGCCTTTTGCCCCAACATTCCTCCAGTTTCCATGTACTCTTCATGTACCTTTCCATGTGATTCTCTACACTGGAGGTAAAACATACCGGTACAACCCTATATCCCCCTACACAACCCGCATCGTAATTTGTCCAGCTTCGAGGCGGCCCTGAACCCTAGGCACAATTAGGACCGAGGTGCTTGAGCAAGCAGCTGTGGATTGGAGCTGAATGAATAGCCTCAGCTGCACATAATCCCTACACAACTTCAGTGTTCATGTCATTTTCCGCTTGAATGTCTTCTACTCTTATATACTCTTTTAAACCCTGCATAATCCCCAGAAACCTCCAGTTTCCATTTCAATGTCTGTGTGATCCAAGTTCCGAAGACAGGTCATGCCTACCTCAGAAGACACTTTCGAGTTTCTAGTAGATGTATGGTTATAGAAGGACATGTACAGGGCAAGATGGGACTATATGAGCCATAGTCTAAACTCCTTAAACGGGTTAAATATGGGGTTACATGGGGGAGTACTTAAGGGGGATACTAGGAGGTTAGACTATAGCTCATATAGGGAGATGTAGAGTTGTAGGGGTACCGAACCACATGGAAGAGAACAGGGAGAATGATCGGGTTTATGGAGATTAAGGTTGCCAAAATTAGGTTGCACAACCGTATAGTAACTTAGTAACAGT